TCTACAATATTCATTTTCAGTTGCATCATATTTCTAACGGCATTTCAGTGTTCCTTAATAAGTACTTTTGTAACTCCAAGAGTAGAGCACGAAATTAAAACAATCTCTGAGTTTAGAAAGAGCAGATTTAGTATCTACACCACACCGCTCTTAGCTAATATGATTCCTCCTGAGGAAAATCTCACTGATCGAATATTTAACATATCTGCCCAAGAACGAAACAACATGCTATATTCTCTGGATACACGGGCAGCTCATGTAGTCATGTGGACGTATGCAAAAACATTTACAGAGACTTTGAAAAATAGGTATGCAAAACCACCATTCTACATAATGGAAGAAGCTTTAGTACCAGGCGTAGACGCGTATTTTTTTCAAAGACATTCGCCTTATTTAGAAAAAATCAACGAATGTTTACTAAGACAAAAACAATACGCACTATCAGAAATTAGAATTCACTCTGGTTCATCTCTTAGAGGGAACATTACTAGGAACGAAGGTTCTCAGACCGTGTTAGGAATGAAACATCTTCACCACGTGTTTCACTTACTTGTAATGGGTTTGTTTTTAAGTGTCGTTGTTTTCGTATGCGAAATTATTTTGAAAAACGGACGAAAATTCATCATCTGGTACAAAAACAAATAAAGTGGTTATTATTTACGAGTACTTATTATAACAACATGCATTGTGTGTATACGTTATTCGGCAAAATTAAAAAAAAAAATAAGAGTGTTATCTCCAAATGTAAATTTCTGACTGTTTTTGCTTTCACCTCAAATAAATACCTAAACATTAATCATAAATTAATGAGACGTGTGAGAACTTTTTCATGTGTATGTTTCTAATGTTTCATGTATTCTTTCCCAGCATGGTTGCTATATGTAATCTTTCTTGTTTTTTTGTATATTTAACATTATTAAATAATGTACGACTGATTTATCATTTGTGTTTTTTCTGACCGAATACTGGTTGTTCTTTATTATTTATCATCATATGATGCTACAGAATATTAAAAATTCAATGTATTCTTAAATTTCGCAGTAAATCGTTAACCAAAATAATCTGTTTCAAGAATGTTATTAAGTATATCTTGATTGATTTTTTTACATTTAACATAACTAAATGATGTACTAAAAGATTCTTTCAATATTCAGATTCACAGATACGTTACACCTGTCGACACGATTTATTAATTGCGTTTTTCCTATCTGAGAATGTATCAGTAAGATAGCGAAACATATCAAATTGAAAAACCCATATAAAAAATATGTCCTGTATAGCTAGATATGTATTATTACAACATGACAAATATTCCAAACTAAAAAATATTTCTTATTTTGTCACGCTACTATAAATAATTAATTTATTATTTATCGTTAGGTAACAGTCTCGAATATTGAAAAAGAATTATTTTGATTTTCAGTGTATTTTTTTAATACAAAAATCTAAGTGCTCTACATCCAAATATTTCATTACCACAATGTTAAAGTTTTTATTCATGCTTTTCACAATCAACGTATCTTTAAAACCAACACAATTTCTAGAAACCGAATTTAAACAATACTTAATTAATTACCAAAGTTTCAGACACGTTTCTTCTTGCAGCTACATCAACGTCAATTCTGACGTTACTAAAGATGTTTCAAACTTGTTCATCAAACACAATATGTGTGCCTCGATAATTATAACAAAGAATTTTAATTTTACTGCTTCCGGAATTCCAAAATCCCAATCAACGTTTATTTTTTTAGAACATGTTGAAGAAATTATAACCCATATTGAAAAAATCCAAAATTTAAATTTTTGGAAACCGCAAAATGAAAATCACTTTGTACTTTGTGAACGAGTCAACAACACGAAGTTCTTGCCTTCGTTGCTGAACACTATTTGGAAGAAACATATTCTTAATTTCGTTGTGGTGTTTGTTTGGGAACACTTGGAAATTTTTACTTATAATCCTTTCAGCAATGAAATTATCAATATTAGTAGTAGTCATTCTTGATATCTTTTCCCTGAAAAGCTGTCCAATTTGTATGGTTATCAGTTAAGAGTATCCTTTTTCAATGACTTTCCTCTTTCCACAAAGAAAAATGGTGAATGGATTGGTGAAGACTACGTTCGTCTAAAATTAGTGACCTCTATGATGAATGCTACTTTTAAAATAATAGAACCAGAAGGCCTGCATCCATTTGATGGAGCTTACAACGATATCATGAACAACGTTACTGATTTCTGTTTCATAAGTCAATATTATATGAGTTATCTCTATCAAGATGCTGACTATACATACACTCATCGACGAAACCAGCTGGTTATTGTTATTCCATCAAAAAAAGGAACTTTAGTCAACAGTGGTACATTTGTCTCCATATTCCATCCCACTGTATGGATACTGTTCATGTGTTCAATCATAGTTTCGTCCATAGTTACATTCATTCTAACGTTTTTTGAAAAAAAAGTCGTCCGAATTAACTGTCTACAGTACTTCTCCACTTTCCTTGGTAACCCGTCAGCCAATCTTAACACGCAGCCATTCATACTCAAAACACAATCTATCGTTCTCATTTTCAGCTGCATCATATTTCGAACGGCATTCCAGTGCTTCTTAGTAAGCAGTTTTGTACTTCCAAAACCACATGACGAAATTAAGACTATCTCGGAATTTCGAAACAGCAGATTCAACATTTATACCACACCGTTCTTAGCTAATATGATTCCTCCAGAAGAAAATCTTTCTGATAGAACAATCAACATATCTTTTGCTGATCGAACTAGAATGCTGTATTCTCTGGATACGCGGGGAGCCTATCTAGTCACACGTATCTTTGCAAAAAAATTCATAGAGACCCTGAAGAATAAGTACGCAAAGCCGCCGTTCTACATAATGGAAGAAGCTTTAGCTCCAAGTATAGAGACGTACTATTTTCAAAGGCATTCCCCTTATTTGGAAAAAGTTAACGAATGCTTGCTGAGACAAAAACAATATGCACTGTCAGAAATTAAAATTCACTCTGGTTCATCTCTTAGAGGCAACATCACCAACAGTGAAAGTACTCAAATCGTATTGGGAGTGAAACATCTTCAGAACGTGTTTCACATACTTGCAATAGGCTTGTTGTTAGGTGTCGTTGTTTTTATCTGTGAAATTCTTTTGAAAAACAAAAATAAATAAAACGTCTGTTTCTACTACAAGTATTTTTTAAGAAGTATCTGAAAATAGTTTCTTACAGGGTTCATATAAAACAACTATCCATGACTAATCTAAATTTTCAAAAAAATGTTTACAATGTAAATTACATCTAGAAAACCAATTACTTTGAAATTTTGCACACTTAGTATGATTGTTGTGAACATCGCAAATAGGTCATCAAAATTCATCCCTTACTAAAATTTTGTTAAAAATATTTATAGTGTGATTTAAAATTTTAAATTAGATTTCACTATTTATCTTAATATCAACGATTTTTTTATTATTATTATGATAAGATACTAGCCAGCATTGCTTTAGTGATTACAGAATATCTGGAAAGTTCATGACGTCAACCTAAAATAAATTATTAAATAACTTATTGTTGTATATTTCGTCAACCATACACTAAAATAACGAAGAAAGGAAACAAGGAAAGAGAAAAAGAAGAAAAAAGGAACGCATCAAAGAAAAAAGATAGAAAGAGGCAACGATGGATAGGGGCAAAGAGAGAAAGAATGAGTGTAAGAGGAGGACACAAGGAGCAAAAAGAGGGAAAGACGAAAAAAGGAACGAAAGAATAAGGGAATGAAGGAGAGGGCAAAAATAGTGAGAAAAAGAGGAAAAACGTGACAACAGAGAGAAAAAATGAAAGAAAAAAGGGAAAAGGGAAAGATAGAACGTGGGAAAGTGAGAAAGTGAGAAAACAGGGTGAGAGCAACAGAGTGACAAAAAACGGGAGAGGGAAGGAATGAGGAAACAAGAAAATGCAGATTTGCGAAAAGTGGGAACGAGGAAGATAGAGTGAAAGAAATAGATGGAGAGTGGCTGAGAAAAAACAAGAGAAAGTTGGTGATAGCGAGGCAGAGAGACAGAAAGTATGTAAGGACAAACATAAAAGTGTGTCATCTTGGAATTAAAAAAGAAGTTTTTTTTCAAATTTAACGGGACATAACTCCAAAACATTTGCAGAGCAAAAAAAGACAAGAGAAAAGAGGGTGAGAGGGAAAGAGAGAGACAAATATACGGATGGAGAAAAAGGGGAGGCAGAGAAAAAGAGAAAAAGAAACATGAAGAACAGAGAATATGGAAAGAGGGAATAATGACGAGTAGCATAAAGAAAGAGGGATAGAGAGAGGAAAAGAGGCGAAGGCGAGAGGAAAACACGGACAGAGGGAACCAAGGAATGAGGAAATAGGGGAGTGTGGTAAAGAAAGACATAGATGAACAGGAAGACAGGAAGACAGGGAGATAGTGAGTGAATGAGAAAGGGTGAGAGGAAAAGAGGGAAATTGACAGACAGAGAAAAAGGGAACGAGTGAAGTAATCAAGAAATGAACGAACAATCGGAAAAACGAGGAAAAGGGAAAATATGAATGGAAGGAAACAGGAAAATAGAGAAAGAAGAAAAACGGAAAGCGGCAAAAAAAATATGGAAAGGTGGAATGATGGACGAAAAGAGAGAAAATGGGTGCAAGAGGGGGATACAAGGAGCAGAAAGTGTGAGACGGAAAGAGAGAGACAGGGGAAAGAAGGAGTAAAAGGGAAAGGCAAGGGGAGAGGGAAGGAACGGGGAAACAGGAAAATGTAGATTTGAGGAAAGTGGGAAAGAAGTAGACAGGTTGTGTGAGAGAAATAGAGGGAGACTAGGTAACAATAAACAAGAAAGTAAAGAGAGGAAGCCAAGAAGTGGAAATGAGGGAAAATGGCAAAGTGAGAAAAATGGAAGTACGGAGATAGGAAGACGAGGATATAAAGCGCTGGAGAGAGGGGGAAAGAGGGAGAGAGTGAAAGTTGAGAAGAAAAAAAACCAATGAAACATACAGAGGAAAAGGGAAAAAAGGGTAAGAGAAAAAAAAGGAATATCAAAGAAGTACAAAAAGAAAGAGAAAAGATGAAAAAGGAGAATAAACAGAGCTGGCAAAGGGGGAGTGAGAGAGGGAGAAAAGAAGAGACAAGAAGCAAAGAGAGGGAAGCACAAAATAAGAACAAGAAGGGCAGAGGGAGTGAGGAATTATAGAGAGTAGCAAAGAGAGAAAAGAGGACAAGAAGGAAAGGGCAGAGTTTTTAAGTGGGAAACAAGATGATAGGGGGGCACAAAAACAGGGGAAGATGGACAAAGTGAGAGAAAACGAAGAAACAGAGAAACAGTGAATTCGGAAAAGAAGAAATTAGAGAAGAAGGGAAATCGAGATGGAAAGAAAGAAGGAAAAGAGGAAAGAGGTAAACAAGGAATGACAGAAAGAAAGAAAAAAGTAAAGGTTGAAAGAGACAAAAATGGAAAGAGGGAATGATGAAATTAGCAAAGGGAGAGAGAGAGACAGCAAGAGGGGCGAGGGGCAAAGGAATGGAAAAACGGAAAGAGGGCAAGAGGGAAAAAGGGAAAGAGAAAATGCGGTTTGGAGCATTCGATTTCTGGAGGATTTCTAGTCCGACTGGTGAATTTTCAGGCCGAATCCGTTTAGAGTAAAGGGACGAATATAAGGCATTTCCGAACTAAAAAAAAGTCGTTTTTTCACATTTAACTTCTACATCTTATTATTTCAACTGTATTTAAAGTTACGCACCTAAAAACTCCCTCATATAATATATCAATTTTATAAACGTCTAATGACAAAAAATATTAGTTATTATCTTTATTATTCATCCAAATTTTCCACTCCACAAATTAGCCTAATTGGTTCTAATTTATTTATATTTAACATTAATTTTTTATATTATTATATTTATATTAATATTACAAACAAATATTTTATTACCACAATGTTAAAATTTTGTTCATAATTTTTGCTTTCAGTGTTACTTTAAAATTTACTCAACCTGTGCAGTATGCACGAACACAATTTCTGGAAACCGAATTTAAAAAGTACGTTGTTAATTATCGACGTTTCAGACACGTTTCTTCTTGTGGCTACATCAACGTCAATTCTGAAGCTACTAAAGACGTTTCAAGCTTGTTCATCAAGCACAATATGTGTCCTTCATTAATTGTTGGGGATGATTTTAATTTTAATGCATCTGGAATTGCACAAAATCTGCAAAAAGTGTTTCACATACTTATAGTAGGGTTGTTGTTAGGGTCGTTGTTTTTATTTGTGAAATTATTTTGAAGAACAAAAATAAATAAAATGTCTACTAATTACGAATTTATTTCAACAAGATGTATCTGAAAATAATAGCATAGTCTATGAATCCGCCTTGATTTTTAATCACAATTATTTTACAAAAATGCTACCATTTGTTCCAAGTAACGATATCTTGTGCGCGTGACCATTTTTTAAGATATTGAATTTGTGTAGTGTTTAAAATCAGGTGCGGGGGGAGTTCTGTCTAAAATAACTGAACCATTTTTCTATGTTGTATCCGGCTGTCCATCATCAGTTCTTTAAAGAATAAATTTCAATAAACATACCGAAAATACAAAAACAAAATAATTGGCGGAAGGTTATTTCGACAGAACTTCCCTCGCTCCCAGAGCACAGTACAATAAATTCCCCTTTGAAAAATTATACATAATAGTGGTAATAGCGTGAAAACAATGAGAAAACATGTTCTCTCACTGTCTCAGTACATGCGTAACTTCGACTGTTTATGTTTATACTTCAAAAGAATTCGCCTATTATCACGCTCCGATAACAAGCGTCTGCGTTAAAAGAAAATGAATTTTGATTGATTTTGTTTCCTCAAAACAGAGGCGACGACTAATTTAATTAATTAAGCTACAGTGGGGCAAAACGGACCGAATATAAAGTTAATATCACATTACATAACCCACATGTTAATTTAATGGTGGAAATTATCTCGATGATTTTTATGTTCGTACATTGATCTCTATGTATGAAGACATAATCTATGCAAAATCTAAAAATATCATACCAAAATTGACGATCAGTGAACAATTGATCGACTGCGATTTATTGATAATTCCTCATAAAATATAAAAAAGTACTGATATTATTGAATTTTGACGCATTAAAAATATGTTTCAGAAATGAAAATGTAGTGTTCATAACTTCGGCACAATCAACACATAATGCAGCTTTAAAGTTAACAAATATTCTAAATTAATGATAATTTTTATGCTGTTACTTGCATCACGCACCCTTTTTGCTAGAAATCAGTGTTTTATTTATTATTCATGACGAAATAACAGTAGCAACTAAACCGCGATCACAACAAAATCTTTTATCGCTATAATGTTAAAATTTTTATTCACGTTTTTTATCTTCAGCGCATTTCTAAAATTCGCTCGACCTATGGGACAAACACAATTTCTAGAAGATCAGTTTAAGAAATACATAGTTAATTACCAACGTTTCAAAAACGATTCTTCTTGTGGCTATATCAACGTAAATTCCGAAGCTACAAAAGACGTTTCAAATTTATTAATCAAACACAATCAGTGTGCTTCAGTAGTTGTAGGAGACAACTTCACTGCGTCTGGATATATACCAAAACTTCAAGCAACTTTTATTTTTTTGAAAACCGTTCAAGAAATTGTAACACAAATTGGAAAACTCCGAAAACACAAGTTCTGGAACTCGCGAAAAGAGAATCACTTTGTGATTTGTAGGAGGGTTAACGACATCAAGTTCTTGCCAGGATTGATGCAGACTATTTGGAAACAACACATTCTGAATTTTGTTGTAGTATTAGTCTGGAAACGCTTGGAAATTTTTTCTTACAATCCTTTCAAAGAAGAAGTTATTAATGTGACTTCACACAAGTTTTGGCATCTCCATTTATTCCCCGACAAGTTATCCAATTTGTACGGATATCAATTAAGAGTGTCCCTCTTCAGTTACTTTCCTCTTATAACCAAAGAAAATGGTGAGTGGATGGGTGAAGATTACATTCGTTTGCAGTTAGTGACCTCCATGATAAATGCTACGTTTAAAATAATAGAACCACCGGAGAATACTTTTTTTGGCGGAGCTTACAATGATGTCATGAATGACGTAACAGATTTTTGTTTTATTAGTCATTATTACATGCATTACCTTTATCAAGGTGCTGAATACACCTACACTCACCAACCAGATCAAATCATCGCTGTTGTTCCATTTCAACATCAAACTTTATTCCACAGTTACACAATTTTTTCGATATTCAACATCACTGTGTGGGTTTCGTCTATATCCATGATAACAATTCTTGTTATTTTTACAACTATTATAAACTTATTGAAGACAAAGGTCGTCCAGATTAACTGCCTGGAGTACTTCTCCGCCTGCCTGGGTAACTATTTACCCAGTTTTGACACAAAACCATTCACAATCAAAATTGTGCTTTTAATTTTCATTTTGACTTGCATCATCATTCGAACAGCTTTCCAGTGCTTCTTAATAAGTACTTTCTTAACGCCGAAACCAGACGACAAGATTACGACGATTTCTGAACTTCGTAAAAGCAACTTAAATATCTACACTTCAGCTTTCTTAGCTAATATGATTCTGTTTAATGAAAATCTCGGTGCCAGAGTGTTCAACATGTCTGGTCCAGAACGTACCAAAAGACTGTACTCTCTGGACACCAGTGCATCCTACATTATTACATTGACGCTTGCAAACAAATTTATGGCGACTGTGAAGAGTAAGTACGCAAGACCACCATTTTATATTCTGGAAGAAGCTTTGGTGCCAGGTATGGATATGTATTTTTTTCAAAGGCATTCGCCATATCTGGAAAAATTTGACGAATGTTTGTTAAGGCAGAAACAATACGCACTGTCAGAAATTAGAATTCACTCTGGATCATCTCTTAAAGAAAACATTTCCAGAAGCGAAAATTCTCACATCGCATTGAGAATGGAACATCTTCAAAGTGTGTTTCACATATTTGAAATAGGTTTGGGGTTAAGTGTCATCGTTTTCATGTGTGAAATTCTTTTCAAAAACAGGCGGAAACTCATCATTTGACATTGAAATAAAGAAAGTGTTTGCTATTGACGAGTACTTTTATAAATCATAGACCTTGCACAAAACTCTTGTTTCTTACCAGAGATTTCGACTTAGAAGTATATTAAAAAAAAAATTATGTTTTTTCGACGTTTCATGGCCCCTAGATTACGAAAAAATAAGTCTAAAATAACATACTCTCTTACTTGTGGTTTATGAATCTGCCTTGATTTTTACTACCAATTAATTTACAAAAATTCTGGTGCGATAGTTACAATTTGTTCCAAGTAACGATATCTCGTGCACGTACGTAAGAGACACGGAAGTCGGTGGCCGCTTGATTTAAGGCATGAATTTAAGCAACTTGAACTCTGTGCGCGTGAGTTCGAATTCCATCCTCGTCGATTTTTTCAAGACATTGAATTTGTGTAAGTGTGTAACACCAGGTGCGAAGAACGTTCTGTTTTTCTTCACTTCTTTAAAAAATAAATTTCAATAAACCTACTGAAAATATAAAAACAAAATAATTGGTCGAAGGATATTTTGACAGAACTTCTCTCGCCTCCAGAGTACAGTCCAACAAATCCCATTTGAAAAATTATACATAGTAGCAGTAACAGTGTAAAAAAATTGATCGAAAGTTGTTTCAACACAACTTCTCTCGCTCCTCAAGTACAATGAAACATATCCAGCATTTTCGAATGGGCGCACCCTCAGTGACTCAGTGATTAATTTTTTTGAGACATCCTCTATAAGCAAAACTAAAAAATATGAATGGAATGATAAATAACAAGTATAGTCTCATCCTATTTTGGACATTTTAGATAGGATTCATTTGGCAAAATTTTGGGCTGACGTCATCAATTTTTTGGAGGGGATAAGTAAATTATTTTGAATAAAAATTTAATATGCTTGTCTTATGTTTAAAACATCTGCAAGATTTCAAAGTATTCGGTTTAGCAGATTCAAAACTAAATTGTAGGTGAAACGAACTTCACAGGGTCAGCTAGTTATTGGTAATTCCTCATAAAATATAAAAAAGTATTGATATCATCGAATTTTGATGCATTAAATATCCTTCTCGTTTTAACATACTGAAAAAACTCCTTGTACATCTATAACAGTGTTTATAACTTTAGCACAATAAACACATAACAAACAATAAAGTTAACAAATATCCTAAATGAATAATAATTTTTATTCTGTAACTTGCATCACGCACCCATTTTGCTAGATAGAAATCAGCGTTTTATTAATTATTCATGATGAAATAACAGTAGCAACTAAACCGCCATCACAACAAAATTTTTTATCGCTATAATGTAAAAATTTTTATTCACGTATTTTATCTTCAGCACAATTTCTAGAAGATCAGTTTAAGAAATACATAGTTAATT